TAATTAGAAAAAATAACTAGTATGGTATCTGTTATGTACTGATTGTTTTTAGTTAGTAAAAATTTGTGAACACAATAAAGACTACAGTTTTCATCGATTTAAATTAAATGTATTGTGATCATTTATAATGAAAAGATCTTAGTCAAGTTTGAATTTTTCGATCAATGGAAATTGAGTTATTTCCCTTGACTTAGTAAAAACGCATCAAAATTTGTTGAATTGTAAATGAGATAGAGATGACAGTTAATGTCAGAATTTTATTAAATTTTGTGTGTACAAATTAGATTTTTGGTATGATTTGACACAGATTGGTGACCGCCCTTGTTGCCATGCAACCACATATTCTGATTTTCATAAGGGTTCATACTTGGGTGATTATAAACACTCATTCCAAGTTTCGTCAAAATCAGTTAAGAATTGTGCCTTCTAAAGTGTTTACGATCAAATATGAACAGACGGACCGACGGACGTACGGAAGACGGACCGACATGTCAGTTTCATGCTATCAATCCACTTTTAGTCACATCCTAACGGATTCGTTTGTTTAAGTGTGGTAGGTCGTAAGAACCGTGGCGTATTCCCCACTTGCAACAAGTCACCTAGAGTAGATTTATCTTTCCCTGACTACGGGTACAGCTTAGACTAAATTACGTTATAGTGGCGCTTGTTTGGAAAAGTCTTTTAGTTAATGTGAATGGATCAGTTTGATGCTAAAATAACAGAAAATATCCTTAATCTCAAAAGATTGAAATTCAAGAGTTTCTGCGAAAACATAATGCTAAAATAAGTGGTTCAAGAATTAGCCTTTTGAAATAAATGAAAATCTATCTACACATCAGTGTCCCGTCAACCACGACTATGATGATTCTATTCAACATCTGGTGAAGATGCTAGTAAGGTTCCTGATTATAAAGACATTCTTAGTGGCTGGACAATCAATTTGCATGATTTACCCCACATTTTACATAAAGATGTCGAAGTTTATCTTCTTCATAGTAGCCACCGCACGAAGGATAAACAAAAAATGAATTGTTATAAGGAAGGTTATAATTCAGGTCCTACCAATATCTTTTAGGCTACTTGTGGTCTAATGTGTAGGCCTAAAATTGTGCTGTAGCAGTTCCCAGACTATTTGTGGTAGATGACTTCCGTTAACCAAATTTGAAATTTTTGAAAAAATGTTATCCCATTAATTACTTTTTCTGGCTAGATGCAATTAATTCCCCGAATTAAGCACACTAACGTCCATTTCAATGCCGGTGCGGATATTTTTCTACGAACTCAAATCCTTACCTTGTTCTTTGGATGTGACATCTCTATTATTGGAATTCTTAATGGATACTTTTAAACCAACATAAATAAACAATCCAACAGTGCTAACCATCAAGCCCAGAAAATTAGAAAACGAGGCATGTCTACTGCCGACTATATACAATAATATAACCACTAATACGCTTTTCATAATATTGCAGACGGAATGACGTCATTAACACCGACATGTACCTCAATACTATATTTGTGGAAATGTAAGAATACACCACATGGAAAACACTTGACAATACTGTAAAAAAGACGGCATGTGTCAAAATGTTTTCAGCACCAAAGCGAGTTTCAATAAGATAAAGAACTGTTGTGAAAACCAAATGACAAATGATCACCATTGCTATAGTTCAAGAAGGACGTAAATTCAACCTGGACGAATTTTGATTTTCTTTTTTGATTGTCGCGTTTCTGACTGCCAGGATGACGTTGGACAGAAAAGCCATGAGACTGCCTTTCGATAAAGATGGGGTGGGTTTCCAGTAAACATACATGCTCCACCTACTATTAATGGAAGACTAACAAATATCGATGGATGTAACGGAGTAGCTAGTAAGAGTCTTTGTACACAGGCACTGGTAATGGGTTCCATTAATTTGATAGCGAATGTAGATGACGCAAACATAAGGGCCACACTGCAGTTTGTTGATAAAGTTGCCAAACCATGGCATACAGAAATACATATATACACTTTATCACTGTGAAACTTAACTTCTGTGAGAGAATAACACATAAAGGTTTGATAAAGGGTCAGAAAAAAGGCTTTGATAAAATTATATGTTGATTCATTCTCAGCTTCGGACATCAAAAACAATTTTCCGGAATAATGGCACAGGAATGACGTCCCAGTCCAAAGTCCAAACACTGTAATAATGTTCCGCATACTGAATGTTTTGATCTGAAACAACAATGACGATTAATTGATGAAAACACATCATGAAAGCCACAGGAAGCCGAAAATAAACGGTTTTCGGACGATTTAAACTTAAGTTTCAGATTACAGGCTATTCATTGGGAATTGAAGCCGACATTTGAGATCAACTACTAGATAAGGCATAAGGTAGTGCTCGATCGCAGGTTCTCCACGTTTTTCGCCAAACCATCGTTCGAATTAAAAAAAATGATCGGGTACTATCGGGACCAAAACATTCTTTGGAGAAACGATCCTATAAGCAAATTTTGATGCCCAAAAATGTCCGATTCGCCCCACCGCCATGAGGAAGGCAATTGATGATGACATTCGCGTCGATCAAAGAAATGTTTCAATGGAGACAATAAATTGATTGACAAACAGACAAATCTTGTGTGCTGTAGGTAGAGAAATGAATAAAACTTTTCAACCAAAAAAAGGTTGTATGAAATCGGGTCAAAACACTGATAATTTGACAGGAAACAACTACAAATACAAATTTCAACGCCACTGTATGAAGACAACGACAATTTCCTCTATCAAAACAATTTATCAAAATTTAACTTACCTCGTTAGTCGTCATAGTGATATTTTTAATTAGCACAAATCTGTAAAAAGTCCTTAAACATAAAGCTATCCTTATTTTTTTTATCTTTAATGACAGTTTATTGAAAATGTTAAGTACTAAGCAACTCCACCGATCAGATATGCCTCGTATTAGCCCCGAGGATCCGGACAATTATTATTTAAATGTATTATAGGTGTAATGAGATTACAATAATAATAAACAACTCACATGGGTGAGAATTAAGTCCAAACACAACTAACATTCAGCCCATGGGGACAAAAATACAAACGTAAATAAGTAAAATTATAGTCTTTTAAGAAAGCGTCTTATTATTGATAAATCGTAAATAAATCAAAAATAACAAGTACATGCGTTTGAGATTGACAGAATTATCTTGCTATGGGCCAGTATTCGACCACAAGCTACCACAGTTTAAATATTGTGTTACTTACAAGTAAGAATATCAGAAACAAAGTATCGAAGCTGAGATCATATTATTTTGACCTCATAGTTATACGGATATATGACACCGCTTCACCGAAATACATCTTCGCGAGTGGAAATTACAGCAGTCTTCAAATGAAAGTAATCTATGCTATTTCACTAATCAATTATAATAGTCAGCAACATGACAGCCTCCTCGAGTCCGATATCCCCCAAGAAACGGGTTCTAGATCAATAGGAGGAGGATCCGAAGAGGCTGTAAAATTGTCCTACTTTCGGCTTAGAGAATTATAATGCAGTAGAAAATTTGTAAGATTACAATGGAGAAGAAAATTATCAAAAAAAAACAAATTGTGGTTTTCTCTTCTAAGGATGAATATTATCCTGAACTAGATTTCT